CTCCCCCCACAAAATAAAAACAAAAAGAAACAAAATACACAACTCCAGAACTCCAGAACAAAAGCAAAAACTAGCGGCGAGTAAAAAAGACGGAGACAGAAGAAAGACGTACTATCCTGGCCTCCTGGTGTTCCTTCTCTCGCTCCACGAGGGACCTCATCAGGTCCTGCAACTCCTGGTACTTGACCTTCTCCTGGCGCGAGCTCTCCTCACAGGAGGCGGAGCTTTGGCGGATCTGCTCGGCCAGTCGCTCCACTTCTAGCTTGGCCTCGTCACGCAGGTGGTGGGTGGAGCGAACGTCCTGGAAGGGGGCGGAGTTAAGTTTGTGAGAGATAGGGAGAACAGATACACACACACACACAGACAGAGGACCAAACTCAGGGATATAGACACAGAAAACTGTTAGTAATGTCTGCATGGTAGAGCTTCTTTAAAGCACTATACTATTCAAGTCTTATTCTAAGTCCAAAAAAGTAAAGCACTTCAAATAACTGACCCCCCCCCCCTACCCCAACCCTCATTAAATGTGAGGCAGCGTGGTTGAATCAGGCTCTCGTCAAAATAATCAAAGTGAAGAAACTTGCAATTTTTCTGCATGTTTGTGAATTTTTATCAAATTTTTGTTTTTTGGCTCAACACCTTTCCTGCCAATTAAAGCACTCATTTCTGTGTGGATTTTTCTGAAAAACGTTGATTACAGGAACAAAAATGTAAATTTTCAGTTACCACGGACTCTTAAGCTAAGGAAATAACTAATCTTTGGCGGCCATTTTCTCACTAATTTTACCTCTGAAAACAGGTGAACCCCACCTCCTTCTTTAGCAAATATCTCGACTTTTATTCAAGATAATATTAAATGGATGTCTTTTTCATCCAAAAAAAGACAAGTGAACAAGCTTTAAAAGATGATACCAATAACTCTACATGCCCAAAAATTGACGAGAGCCTGATTCCACCACGCTGCCTCACATTAATGTTTAAGGATGTAGTGGACTCACAACTAATCCGGTCGGCGACAAAACCAAAGTGTATGCTGAGACACATTTTATTCTATCATACACAAATAAAAAGGATAAAATTTGCATATTATTTTATAGTGCGCACGTCGTTATCTGCTATATGGTCGCTTTTAACGACAAGCGGGCTAACCCAGATTTCGGGGGTTTCCAGAAATTTGGACCGACACCACAAGTGGGCATTGCCCTACCTATAGGAGAAGTTTGGTTTCATTGGTGTGAATATGTGTTTGGTTATAGAGAAAACTCTCCTCGTCTTATAACAAACTAAACAAGGGGGAAACAACTTTACCTTCGATTTTCTCAATACAGCATTTATCGGGATAGCTCCCTTGTGCTTAAAAGCGACCATATTTAGTTTCAGATTCAGAAAACAAACAGAATGGAAAAATCTGAGCAAATAATGGAGTTATGCTTCTTTTCTAAAGTGGCCAAAGACAGAACGTCTTCAAGCTCTGGTGAGTAGACAGAATACGGGTATTGGATGAGAGAAAGCACACAGAGGTGAGAATTTTTAAAAAGCCCCATCACCGATCAATAACGTATTCAAAAGCAGAAATTATGAAAGTAGCAGGACATCTATAATTCTTCTCTGTAGGAATGTATAGTTTTTGGAACTCACTCTATATTCTTTTAAATCTCTTTTGCCGCCAGACCCCTCTCATCACCATCCCTCTCTCTTTCTCTCTCTCTCTCTCTCTCTCTCTCTCTCTCAC